CACTTGCGATTCTTCCTGATCCCTCGGTTCAGGATTCGTTCCTCCAGAGTATGAAGGTCTTCCTGGCTCTGGAACCAACTCTTAACCACAAAGTTTTTATGGTTTGAGGAAAATGGGTTCTAATTCCCTGCTCCTCTAGGGGAAGAGAAATTCGGGTTTCTGCTACTCCTTGAAGGGAGGAGCAGGGGTGAGGTGGGCGGAGAAGGCAAGAGGAAAGCTTCGCTCCAGAAGCGGCCCCTCGGCCTCATTCTGCGCGCTGGTTTCTGGGTTTCAACAGTGGTCAGTGTCCAAACCTGGTATAAAGACAAAAACAAACACAAACACAAACAAAAAAGTGCATATAAAAACAAGGGAAAATTCTTTTAGTCACAAATATATTACAGCCACCTGATGTACATTCTTGGACCCCGCGACACTGCTGCTGGAAATCTGGACCAGGATAAAACGCCGGACAAGTGACCGTGAAACAATTATATCTGTTTAAAATACGGCAGCGTGGCTAAGCGGTGGTCTCCTCACCCAGTGTGTCATTGTGCACGCATGAAGACGGGGCTGCAGCTCTGCGCGTACTGGACACGCGACACGCATATACGTAGCGTAATCAAGTCACAAGTGCAGGCTGCAGTGGTGACACAATGCATGGCCTAAAAAAATGAATGATGTAAAACATTCATCATTTTTAAAAATGTATTTAATGCAGGGTCTACAGGGTCTCACTGTACAGATCCGGACTCCTAGCGATCCTCCTGTTTTCAGCCTCCCAAGTACTGGGATTACAGCCCGTCTCCATCCTCATCTCAGCAGGCCCCCAGGGCGGGCCGGCACAGGCAAACCCGAGATGAAAACCTGGTCCCTGAGGCTGCCTAAGCAGGCGCTTTAGTCCGCTGAGCTGTCTGGCCGGCCTGCCGGCCCCCATCAGAGTGTTAAGTGGCTCCGGCAATGTGATTGCTTGTTTTTATTTTCTGATTATGCGGTCTCAGAGGAAGGGCAGCCTTTGTCCCTCTCAGCAGCGCTGTCAGCAGTAAGGAGATGCTGGTGATTTCTACACCACGTGGTCCTTGGGAGGGAACAATATACTAAAGTGCTGAATGCAGTCACTGTCCATATTTTATTTCATGAGTGCGTAGATGTAAATGTTATAATTAGAAAAGGCGATAAACTACATTTTTTTTTTTAATGTTACGGAAGTGTCTACAGGGTGTTCAGGGTCTCACTACTAGATCGACTCATAGTGATCTGCCTAAAAAGCCTCCCGGGGGTGCCCCAGGGGTGCTCACACTTCTGGGCTGCAGCATCCTTCACCTCAGGTTTCAGAGTGCCAAGGACTCTACTATTGCCACTGTACCAGCTCACGGTGACCCAATTTTAAGCCACAAATGTCAACTGTTGGAATCTTCCTGCGGTCTAAGATTATGTAACTTACTGGCTGTCAGTTACAAATTTCCACTATCTGTACAATCGCTGTGTAGCGGCCTCATGCAGTCTATGTATTGTGATTGCACGCGAGGCAAGCACTCCACCGAGCTCCCCAACCCGAGAGGTGAGTGGCACTGGGAACGGAGCCAGGGCTTTCTCCTGCAGCTACGTGCCTGATTTTTCGAGGCAGGGTGTCACTAAGTGTTGCTGAGTTTCGCAGGCTGAGCTCTCACTCACCGATCCCACTGGCTGAACCTGACAGGTTGCTGGGATTGCAGGAGTGGACACCTGCCTCTCCCAGTGTGCTTCAAATTCTACTTCTAGTTTATTACAAAGTACAGGTGTGACATCAGACTCTGAGGCATCATCTCTTTAGAAACACTCTCCAAATGTTCTGTAGGAAAAAAGGATCTGTTGGATGGAACATAGATGCAAAGTTATCTCCTAGTCTGTGTGCATTTCTGCCATAAAAGCCCTGTGCGAGCTGTTGTAGGTGCTTTGATGCACCTCAGACATCTGCAGCATCACCAGCAGTTTCCTAAGCTTACCAAAACAGGAAGTGGGTGTGCTGGGTCCGGACTGTTCCACATGATTGCAAGTTACTCGCTATCTTCCGGTGATCACTACTTAATTTCCTAAAACCTCACGCATCACCTTTTGATGAATTCGTATTCGGATCTTGCCTAGGATGGTGATTAAATTTAATTTAACCTGAATTAAATTTAATTTAATCTGAATTAATTTTTTTAACCTGAATTACCTGAGAAATTCCTTCTGAACATTTCCAGTTTTCCCTCACTGAAAATTAGAGTGACGGGGACCGTGATACAGCTCAGTGGCATAAGCACCACCTGGCAAGCGCAAAGTCCTGAGTTTGATCCCTGGTACCACAGAGAGAGAGAGAGAGAGAGAGAGAGAGAGAGAGAGAATATCAGAGTGATAGCTCATTTGTGTTGTTTTGTGATTTTCAAAAATAATATGTCAATGGTTAAGTAATATCTTCTGAAATGTCTTTGTGCTTTGTTTTTTTCTTTTGTCTGCTTATTTTTTTGTTTTTGAGACAGGATCTCACCATATAGCCCAGGCCAGCCTTGAACTTACTATGTAGCCCAGGCTGACCTTGACCTTGTAGTGATCCTCCCTCCGCAGCCTCCTGGGTGTATGCCCTCTCGGGAGAAAATGCGGCTTTTGTGCCTCAGCAGCACTGTCAGCAGTAAGAAGATGCTGGTAATTTCTACATTGAGTGGTCATTGGGAGGAAGCCAATATACTAAAGTACTGAATGCAAAACTGCTGGGCAGTTTTGTTTTGCAAGTCATTTGTCCAAGAGAAGCAACAAGCAAGACTTTTTTCATAGCCTCCTCACCTATCTTGACCTCCATTGCCTCACTAGCATTTACTCTGCTCTAGTCCTCTGTGAAGGGCGTCAGCTGCTTTGAGGGAGGAAGCGCTGACCAAGAAGCTGCTGTCGGAGGCCAGAGCGCAAGCCCAAAGCTCGATGACCATAGCGCGAGGGAGCCCAACGCAGCACCCCTAAGCCTGAGCATCACACGGACAGGACCACATTTCCCTGTAAGGTCAGGGGTCGCCAAGCCAGGTACTGAGCCCCAGAACGCAGGGCGCAGCACGTCAGCCCATCGCCGACCTGCTCGGTATGAGCAGAAGGGCTTAAGTGATCCTTGTGTGGTTCTCTGAGTATTTTATGCAGGTAGCACAAGTTCCCGATACCGGTACTAAGTGTACAGAAAAATGGATGATGAAGTAGAAGCACTTTAACTGTAACTTAATTATATTATTGTAGATTTAAAAGTGCGAGGAAACTGTAAGTTTAAAATTAAGACTCGCTAATGCCAGGGACTCTAGAGATGGAGAAGCCGGTACTACAACTGTAGTGACAAAGGGAGAATGTCTCAAGCGGCAAGTGCACTGTGCTGTAGCAAAGTGAAAAGCCTGCTTCGTTGTATAAAAACTTTTGAAAGATAGCACATAGCTACATTCATAGAAACTACAGAGTGCATTTGATGAGTTTCCTCTAACAGTCAAAAAAGAAATGACAGTAACTGAAATGAGACCTCTGAAGTCCAAATCAAATATCCAACAAAAATTTTAGAAGGTTTCAAATGTACTTTCTTTCTCCAGTGATTCTATAGTTGAGCCAGGTGTGGTGGTGCACGCTCGTCACCCTGGCCCTTGGGAGGCTGAGGCAGGAGCAGCACTTTGAATTCTAGGTCAAGGCGGCCTAGAACTAGACAGACAGCAAGAGCGTCTCAAGAACAAGCTGTATTGTAATGAGTACACCGTGCTTCCCACACACACGGCATCTGCTATGCGCTGGCTCTGAAGGGATTCGATGTCATTCCAGCGGCGATGGTTCCTGATCTCTCTATTCCTTTAGGATGACTCTGCCAGCAGAGAACAGCTTCCATTTCTGTTGCAATCTGGGCGGCCAGATACATCCACGCAGAAGGCAGAAAGGGGTCCTTTGGGCATACACTGGTGTCATGTTTGTCATGGAAAGAAGATGGAGGTTGCTAACGGCTGTGCCTGGCTGCTGTTCACCAAGTGCTCCGAATTCAGAGCCGACTCCGTATACTCTTGCCAAGGGAAACATGCAAAGTCGAGGCGAGAACTGCAGGCAGCACTGCTGTGCTTCAGGGAATTTGCCCCAACATTGTTTCAAAAACTTATGTTTAATAAGCCCCGAGCTTGTAAATTTAGCCGGCTGTTAGCCGGCTGGCATTACAGGAAAAAAAAAAAAAAAAGAACATTACGTTTAGATGGTGACACATTAAGGAAGATTGTGCTGGGAAATTATTAGGAGGTGAGTAGTCATGTTTTATAAGAAGTAAGATATTTCCAACTAAGCCACCAAACTACCGCCCAGAACACAGGAACCTTTTGAAGAATATTAAATAGCAACTGATTAAAAATTCAAACAATTGCCAATACCTTAGTTTTAGATGAATCATGCCCAGGTAATAATTTCTGTACGCTTTGTCTCGAAGCACATTCACATTTACAAAGTGGCTTCATTTCACAGACTAAAAAGTTGAGGGAGTAGCACAGAAGGTAACTCTTACGGCTGTCACAGATTCAGTACATGTGGAAAAGGCTTTCCTTGTGACGGAGGTACTTAAGCCTTTGGTCAGCTTTCTGGGTTTACGGTTTTGTTTTGCTTTGCTTTTGCTTAGGTTTTTTTTTTTTTTTTTTTTTTTTTTTTTTTTTTTTTTTTTTAATGTGCTGCTAGTAACAGGGTCTGTAGGCAAATGCTCAACCACTGAGCTACATCTTCAATTAGATTTATAAGAATTTAAAACTTAGATTTATAATAATTTTAAAACTAAAAGGCTGTTTCCACCATTGCCTTCTTTCATCATTTAATACTCACTGAAATTACTTGGGCTCATTTTCTGAATCTGACTCATGGCAAGCGGGACACGTGCCGCTGTTCAGAGCTGCTGGCTCTGAGCTACACCAGGTGCCATGGGGCCTGCAACCCCAGCTGCTCAGGAGACTGAGGCAGGAGGACTGCAAGCTTGAGCTCAGCCTAGGGAGCACTCCAGGCCTGTCCAAACAAACAAACATTGTTCAACACAGCCATGCAACTGAAGCAGTGCCTGTTCAGGCTTCTGCTGAAGGAGAAGAAGGCAATGACTTTAACAATATCGTGCTGTTTGCTTTTGGTGGAGTTAGGAAAGAGTTTTACTCTCTTGTTAACTCTAATTCAAAATTTTCCTGAAACAAATATTTGCCAAGATTTTACTAATCAATCAGAAACAAAACCTGGCAGCACAATTTTCTTTTCTCCATCACAGCCTCATTCATTTCATTTCCCCAGCACAAGCCATGTGGGCTCCCAGGGGTGACAGCTCCCAGGG